TTCACTCATCCTGCTTAGTCCTTTGCAAATAGCAGCAGTTGAAACCAGCATGGTCCCTTGCAAGTTGCACAGAGCACTAAACAGGGTTGTTGGTGTGTTTGGGGGGAGCAACAGTATTCCACAAAAAGTGGTTATTGAGAACTGGAGGTTGTAAGTTGGGTACAAGCAATGGAGAAAGCATTTCCCAAGATGGCAAGATGCTGGAATTGGGAAATGCTGGTTGCGTTCACACGGGCAACTGCTTATTCACACCTACCTCCCCCCTTACAGGGGCTGCTCAAAACTTTGTTTTCTTTTTAAAAACCCTAAAAGAAAGATGCCTCTGTTATTCAGCTTTTTTCTGTCCTTTGGAGAAGGGGTAAACGTGTCACCCCAACCCTGTTTGGGTGGTGAGCCGATTTTAGCTCGCCCGCGGAGCCAGATGGACCCAGTGCGGCTTCAGATGGCTCTCTGGGATCCATTGCCCCCTGGTGACTCATTAGATGAGCTAGTGGAGGACTGGAACAACCGACTCTCTGCAGCCATCGACGAGATCGCTCCCGGACGTCCTCTACGCCCTCGATCTAGGCTGGCACCTTGGTATACCCAGGGGCTGAGGCTGATGAAGTGAGAGCTCAGACAACTGGAGAGACAGTGGCAGTGGGTTCATGACGAAGCGACAAGAGCATCCTATCGAATGTTTATGAAGTCGTATGAGATGGCAACCAAGGCCATCTGCGCAGAAGGAGTTCTGCGCAGCCGAGATTGCATCTGCAAACTCGCGCCCAGCACAATTGTATAGAACGATTCGGTCTTTAACCCCCCTGCCACAGAGCAGACAAAATGCTAAGGAATTGGATATAGGCTGTGAGGCTTTTGCGAGTTATTTTGCAGATAAAGTCTTGTCGCTCCGCCGCGACCTCCCAGTCACATTTGAGACAGTATGTGAACTCGAGGCTCTAAGCACATCTTCTGATTCCATTCTGGATTGTTTTGGCCCTCTCAGCCTAGAGGAAGTCAACAGATTGGTCTCAACTGTGCGCCCAATCACTTGCAGTCTTGATCCGTGCCCCTCTTGGCTAATTAAAGCTGGCCGAGAGGGGTTTTGAGGTTCCCTTCAGGATATTGTCAATAGGTCCCTCTTTGAGGGCCTATTCCCAGGGGCTCTCAAGGAAGCGACGGTCTGCCCCCTCTTAAAAGAAAACATCTTTGGATCCGGCTGAATTGGCCAACTATCGGCCGGTTTCCAACTTGCCCTATTTGGGCAAATTAATAGAGAGGGCGGTGGTGATACAGTTGCAGGCCTTCCTGGATGACACTTCCACACTAAACCCGTTCCAGTCCGGCTTCCGCCCAGGCCACGGGACGGAGACAGCACTGGTCGCCCTCACAGATGATCTCCGAAGGCACTTGGATCGGGGCGGGATGGCCGTGCTCCTGTTGTTAGACCTGTCGGCGGCATTCAACATGGTCAATCACCAGTTGCTCGCCCACCGCCTCGCCGATGTGGGGATTCGGGGGCTCGCCCTGCAATGGCTTGTCTCCTTTCTCCAAGGCTGGGGACAAAGGGTGGTGCTCGGGGAGGAGCTGTCCCGAAGACACCCACTAGTCTGTGGGGTGCCTCAAGGTGCAGTTCTCTCCCTGATGTTATTTAACATCTATATGCGCCCCCTTGCCCAGATTGCCCGGAGACATGGGCTAGGGTGTCATCAATATGCGGATGACACTCAGCTCTATCTTCTGTTGGGTGGTCAGTCTGGCTCTACCCCGGAAGATCTGGACCGAGCGTTGTGGGACGTAGCGGGCTGGCTTAGGCTGAGTCGACTGAAACTGAATCCGATGAAGACAGAGGTCCTATGCCTGAATCGGAGTGGTACGGGGTTAGGGGTCCCTCTTCCGGCCTTTGATGGGGCACCATTGGTGCCAGCTCTGAGGGTCAGGAGTTTGGGAGTGCTCCTGGATGCTTCCCTGACAATGGAGGCCCAGGTAGCAGGCACTGCCAAGGCAGCCTTTTACCACCTGCAGCTGATTAGGCAGTTGGTCCCCTTCCTCGAATGCAACGATCTGACATTAGTGATCCATGCTATGGTCACCTTGAGGCTGGATTACTGCAATGCTCTCTACATGGGGTTGCCCTTGAGGCAACTCCGGAAGCTGCAGCTGGTGCAGAATGCCGCAGCCAGGTTGTTGATGGGTCTCCCCATGAAAGAACACATCCAACCTGTGCTGAGGTTGCTGCACTTGCTGCCAATAGTGTTCCAGATACGCTTCTAGGTGCTGGTTTTGACCTTTAAAGCCCTTAATGGTCTGGGGCCTGTCTACCTGAGGGACCGCCTTTCCCCGTATGTTCCCCCGAGGGCACTGAGATCCGAGACACAAAATCGCTTGGTCCCCCCTGGCCCTAGGGATGCTAAGTTAACAGCAACAAGAACCAGGGCATTCTCCCTAGTTCCACCAACGCTATGGAACCAGCTCCGAAATGAAATTCGAGCTCTGCGGGATCTTCAACAATTCCGTAGAGCAGTGAAGACCGCGCTTTTCCAACAAGCATTCTAACAGTCCTGGCTACACTGACGGTCCCACATAAGCACTAGCACTTTATAACAGATGCCGCCACATTCTAATTTTAATAAGTTGTATTTATTGTATTGCTTTGTATTGTTTTAGATGTGACAATCGGTATTAATTGTATACTGGTTTTAACCATTGTAAGCCGCTCTGAGCCGCCTTGGCGGGAGGGCGGGGTAAAAGTCAAACAAATAAATAAATATAAATAAATTGAAAAGATTAGCGGGAGGACGGCAGTGAACTCCATATCCCAGCATTCTCAGCAAGCACTTGTGCACATGCTCAGAATGCAAACTTTTAAGAAAATGGCCAACAGCCGCATGAACGACATATCCCAGCAGGCTCGTCCATGCTTGTGGGCATGCTCTGAGGACCAACTTTTTGTAAAAATGGCCGACGGGCTGACTCCATGCCTGCTGCTGTCTGATCACTCCAAGGCCAGTAGAAGCGCTTTGAAGTGTGCTAAAAGGGGTGAGTCTGGTCAGGATTCTCTAGTACAAAATAATCTGGCTCAATTAGTGGCGGGGCAACAGTGGATTAAAGTGCCTGTCTGAACACAGCCGCTGATAATACAAACAGAATTTCTGAAAGTGCTCTGAAAAAATATGAGAATTGAAGCATTTAGGTTAGGGCTGGCTAGCCACAAAGGTGCTATGCTTGATGATGTGTGGTTCGATGTTCTCTCTCCAAACATGCATAGGCTGATGATTAAGTGGTCCACCTTCAGGCTGCAGTCACACACACTAAATAATCTAATTTCAATCCACGTTCCAACTGGATTTTGCCAGTTCACACAGTAAAAATCCAGTTGGAAAGTGCACTGAAAGTGGATTACTTAGTGTGTGTGGGACCGCAGCCTCAGGATATGAGACCTGTAGGCAGTAAAACACCAGTGAGACCTGTCTCCTGCCTAGTGATGGCAGAGCAGGTGCCTGGGAGACACATGGATAAGATGTTCTTTTAACATATTCCATGCACAGCCAGAGTTAAACTTTTGCAAGGGACATTATGTACCGAGTCTTAAGCAACCTCTGTTGACTGCATTGTCATTCTGGGGGAAATACTTGATGTATTCAAATTATCCTTGTAATCTTAACAAACAAGCCTATATTGTAGCTGTTACTGCACACGACTTTTTCTTTTCCTGATTTTTTCCTTGTTAAGAAATTCATGTAGTCTACCTTCTTTGAAACAAAAGGCTCCAGGCTTCTAAGAAACTTGGAAATACTATTTCCTTCTCTACTGGTTTTGTCATTCTCAGTTCAACAAACAGTCATTACAATTTCATCTGTCTCCAGCTATTGCAATCACCTCCCTCTTCTCCATCCTTGGCCATCCAGTCTGAGCACCTTACAGACATTAAGGATATTGTCTTCACAGCGCAGCTGGGAGTTAGAGAAGACTCATTACCCTCATTTTGCAGAAGGGGATACAGGGATGTGGAGCGATTAATGTCCTGATTCAAAACCTATCAGAGTCCATTTTAAACTCCTGCCAGGTTTGGCCACAATTTTGAAGCCCATTTCCTCCAGAACGGTATGTTGGAAACTGTGGAGACTGCTCCACAGTAAGTGTGCTGTCAGGACTACAAACTTAGAATGGCTTTAGGTGTACATTCTTTGGTAATAGTGGCCAGAACAGACTATATTAAAGGTAAGAGTTCCAAGTGCTGGATGATCTGCATTTCAGTCTCTCATTTCAACATTACGCACTAGAATAAAAACTGTATTATTATCTGGAAACTTCTTAATGCATCAACCATTATGGTTAAAGCATGGACAAATGTAGTGTCTGTGATGCATGTAGAATTTCTTGGGCATTACAAAAACAAGAGATTAACGCTTTTTCTTGTTCTCATAAAGCTAGTAACTATCAAGAAAATATCTTTGCTTTCTTTTATTGGATGTGACAGCAAATCAGTAACATCCACTAGTTAATCAAAACCCACACAAATCTCTGGGGAAGGGGGAATGACTATACAGCTTCCATGTAAATGTGCTGTTTCTATTAATGAGCACAAAAAGAAATGTGCCCAGTATTTTTGACTGTCTGAATTAGAAAATTATGACCTTGGTAAGGCCATGTCCTTTGCCTTGAGGGTTGCATCACACATTTTAGAATTTTTAAACACTGATATTACATTAATAAGAGCAATAAAGGATGTTTATAAATAAAGGTGCTTCATGTTGAGCAGCTGTGGGCAGTCCCAACTTTGTGCTGCATGGCTGCAGTGATATTCTTCACACACAATACAGTGTGTATTTTATTTTATTTTCTGTGTGTAATAATAACTTTGTAGTATTGCGCATGATACAGGCCCATTTCAATGCTTGTGTTACTTCATGGATTCAGTTTAACTATGAGGTATGAAAAGGATAATCTGATAGTGAAGGCTATTCTGACTTGCAGGCAGAAGTAATAATTCCAGAGGATAATTGCAAAGGGAACCTTGTTAGTCTGTTGTAGCAAAACAAAACAGAAGTCTGAGGGCACCTTAAAGAATAACAGCATTTATTCCAGAATGAGCTTTTCTGAGTCACAGCTCACTTCTTTGGATACAATGGAAAGAAAGAAAATCCTTTTCCTCATATCTATCCAGAAAATTACAGAAAGAGGAGTGACAAGAGACAAAGGCAGAAGTGTCAGACATATTTTACTGACTGTTGATAGCCATGGCAGTATATTACCATACAATGTATTTCCAGGGTATTAGCCTGCTAAGTATCCATAAATATCTTAGCTGATTAGATCCAAACTCTGTGCTTTCGTCCTCCATTGCAAACTCTGTACTTTCTTCCTTCTCCTTTCTGTGTCTTTTTAGCCCACAATCCATTTCCCAGCACTGCATGACATTTGCACAAATGTTCCCTGGACTTCTCTCACACTTGTGTTAACACTTTCCTCTGTCACTTCTGACCCATATGCCACTGTATGACTCTGAAAGAGGAAGCACAGCTTGGGTGGCACAATTTTATAATCTGAGGGTCAGCTTTCATCTTGGGGGAGGGGACTGAGGAATATGCACTTTCCCCCCATTTTGTATTCATTTCAAAGCTTTGTTCATTTTATAGACGATTAAACACAAAAGACATTTCCAGCTGTAAGGTCTTTGTTTTCCATTTAGTTTTGGATGAATTCTTCAGGGATTGCACTTGTCACTCAAATTATTACCCCTGCCAAATTTTAGAGCTGGGCAATTGCAATCAAAAAGTCTTGTGAAACACAAACAAAACTGAATGCTGTAGCATCTTGGAAACTGTTTATCTAAGTATTTGTACATCATAAAATGAGAAAAGATATTTGTGTATCCGAGGGCACTCTTACATGCTACAGCAAACAGAGGCAGACATTTGGACCTCCAGAAGTCAGGCAGCATTCCAAACTGGATACAGGAAGGTATTTGGCCGTCCCAAGGAGGGAGGCAGGCAGTGTCATAGTGTCAGAAGTCCCTAGGGCACAGAATGCAGATGTTTTGTTTAAAGTCTTTGGAAGGTTGGCAGCAGTACAAGGGGCATTTTTGGCTTGCACCACGCAAGAGGACTAGTAGCATTATTGAGGGTACACAGAGGTAGGCCTTGTTCTTGTGTCTCCAAAAAAGCAGACAGCAACCTATAGCTTTTAGAGAATGGCATTAGGACTCTCAAGAGAATAGGCAGGAGGGCAAAGAGACTGAACTCCAGAGAGAGGGAAGCTCATTATTTGTGTGCACTACAATCAGAGAGCTAGATAGACTTAATTAACTAACCACTGGCAATGGAGAAAGAAACATGGTAACTAAACAGCAGAATATCAGAAAATGGAGCAATAAAAATATCAGCCTACGGAAAACAAAACTCGCTCAGGCAAAGAGAAAAGTTGATGGAAGCTACTGCTGCTTAAAGCCAAGAAAACCTTCACCAGACTACTGATAACAACTGGAGAACACTACATGGAAGGAAAGACCTATCCTTCTGTTGCCAGATCTGTCTGACTTTGATGATCAGAAAAATTCAGTGTCAGCTTCACAATTCTGATTCTTTCCCATCCCTCTGACCTCTCTAAACCAAACTGCCATGGACCAGAAATCCAAATGGAAGGAATGGCATGTGCTCATTCATTGACATTACTATCCATTTTTTGTTACCCTGATGAAAATAATAAATGGTGATGTTATAGGTTTGTTTTGTTATTCATTTGGAAACAAAGACAAAACCCTAGAAAGAACACACAAGAGTGTTTCCTACCCATTCCCTTGACTGTGGGTCCTCAGTGTGGTACACATGGGTGCCACAGTGTCCACTGACATCTTTTCTGATGCCCACCAATTGTCGCTGGGAAGTGGTAGGCTTTTGCTCAACAGGGCTTCTGATTAACTATTGGAGATTTGATTGACTGTGCAGATTTTTTTTAAATGTTGGTTTGGCAGCAGCTGCCACCACAGCAGAAGGATCTGCCCTGTGTTACTGAAGTTAAAACGATGGCAGTCATTTTGTTGCTGTGTCAGAATTCCAGATGTGCCCTTAAGTCTCAAAAAGGTTGGGAACCCCTGCCCTAGATAATCACAGTCATATCGACGGGCATATTTTCATAATAGTGGCAGAGGAAAAAAGTATACTTATTGTTCTATATTCAAAGCCTTTATTGAAATCTAAACTGTGAGCTCTTTGAACCAACAGAAAAGGTTGAGTTCAAACCAACCAGCCAGATGCTGGAGAGGCAGCACTTTTGTTGAAAGTCAAACTCTATCATTGATTTACAGTTCAGATGAAGACTGGCAGCTCCTCACTACCCTACCCCTGATTTTAAAGGGCTAGACCTTTTTAAAATTATTTTTTCTTGTCTACCAGGATATCTTCAATGCAGTCATCAAACAGAATCCCTTTCTGGTGTACCAGCTTCCTTGTTTTTGGAATGTGCAGTTGTCTGACCACACCCGCTCTGAACAGTGCTATCGAGACGTGTCTGACCTAAAGGTAAAGTTGAACAAAGTTGCTGACTAATGGTATTTGCCTTGTTTGTTGTTAGGGAGCACAGAATGGAAGTTTTTACAATGCCATTTAAGGGATGTAGCCTTCGGCAATATTACGCATGGAGTTGCCAGCTCTGAGTTGGGAAATACCTGGAGATTTTGGAGGTGAAGCCTGGGGAGGGGAGGGCTTGGAGTCTGGGGAGGAAAGGGTTTGGGCAATAAGTCCAGGTCTCGGTCATGCATGCCAGGTCCACATCATGCACTGCAAAGTAATCCTGCAGCATCGAGGTCTTATTATTTGGCATTGCACAATGTCAGTGTCGAAGGAGGGTTTGATTTCGTAGCCCTCTCACTGACATATCACAGAATGGGACAAAGATTTGAAAGGGACCAAGCATAACCAGATATATCTCTTTATGCCTGTGAAGGAAGAGACTCACAAGCTGTTCATTATTCCTTGTTATTGGACCCCAAGGGGGTTGGAAGAATCCCACAGTCTCCCCAAGTCTCCACTTAGTGATGCACCCCTTCCCTTCTCTTCCCAAGGGTGCCAATTACAAACTGGGTAACCACCAATTCCCTCCAGTGATGCTTAGGGTGCCCCCTCTCAGACAGAGCCATACATCTAATGTGCCATATCTACATTGCCATTTAGAGTTTTTCCCTGGTTGCCTCTCTTCCTGCTATGTTTCTACAAGCAAATGTGGGGAAGATCTATCACAGCTTCACAGTTTAGCGCTATTGTATTCCAGGGATTACAAGCTTTTCTGCTGCCCCTCCCCATTACTACAGTTCAGATAGCAAGACCAAATAGGTGTGGTGAGTTTCCAAAGATCAGACTTTATTTAAAGAGTTCAAAATACAAGAAAGTTTTAATAAATGAATAAGAGTGTATGGGTTCTATTCAAGCTTTCAGGCAAGAAAGCAAAGAAAAGGTGAAAACACGTAGTTCCCCTTCAGTAGGTAAAGTGATGTTTTGTTTTGGGTTTTTTAAGCCCCCGGAGGGGATTTTTTATTGCATTTTCTATAAACTACAATGAAAAAAGGGGAAGGGAAAACTACATCTATGGGAGAAAGGAAAGAAAACCAAACTAAAAACCCAAGAATAGGAGATCATTACAATAGCTTGTATCAGTGTTAATCTAAAATGCTATGATTACATTGAACATAGTTGATCATGCTCTATTATTTATCTTTAAAACCATTGTTTTCACTATTTAAAGAAAATCACAAGAGCATCATTGATAACCTTAAGGCACAATTCAGAGTTCTTCTGTCTTCATTTTGTTTTATCTTTTCTAATCCTTAATTGATATTCTCGCTTAGGGGCTGCTGCCTCTTTTTCGGAGACCAAGTCCTCATCGGAAGTAGCGGAGTCCTCACCGGACTCCCCCAGTTACAGTCTCAGGAACCCACGCACTTTAGTAACAGAGTCAATTTTTTCTTTTTTATCCAGCAGTTTGAAAATGATGCCTTTGGGAGTCAGCCATCTGTAAGGAAGGCTGTTTGTTTGTAAAAATAGGATCAAGTCCTTGTACTTCTTCCTCTTCTTCCTTATTTCAAATGGAATATCTTTTAAGATCCTGATGATGTTGCCTCCAATTTTCAAGGGCGTTCCTGTGGTTGCTTCCAGGATTTGGTCCCTCAGGTGTCTCTTCGAGAATCTAACCACTATCTCCCCAGGCAGATTATTTTTCTTTATATAAACGGAATAGGTTCTATAAACCACATCCATTTCGCTTACAAGGTATTCCGGTTTTAAATCTGTGATTGGGGCTAACGCATCACTCAGCAGTTGCTTTAGATTCTCTTCTTTTGCTTCAGGGACGCCTTGGAATCGGAGGACTAAATTCGCTTTTTCCATTTGTAGCTGCAAAAGTTGATATTCGTCTGAAGCTTGCTTCTTTTCCAGCATTTGAACCTTTTTCTTAACCTTTTTGGAGTTGGCATCCATTTTCTTCTATTTCTCAGCTGTTTGCTCTGTCTTTTTTGTAGTCTCAGTCAATTGGAGCTGCTGAGCTGCAAAGTTCTGGTTTAGAGCTGTCAGTTGTTGATTGATGTTCGTCATCTGGTCCAGTAGAGGGTGCAAAGTGTCCGCTAACAGTTTAGAAAACTCAGAGGTATCTTCCGGCTGCTTGTCTGTCTTTCTCCGTTTTTTTCCATGCCATTTTTATGGATTGTTTACTTTTTTGAAAACTTGCTAAAGTCTCTGAAGTTTGCCCAAATGCTTACAGGTGCTCTGGTTGATCTCTAAAATAGATTTCAATGCTTTTTCTTCCACCACCACCCCCCTTGGCAAATTGCTATTCTCTTTGTGCGTATGGGAGGGGGCCCTCCCCCCACTCGCTCATCTCATCGTTCCCGGGGGGGGGGGTTCTTTTAAATTCCCGGCATTTCAATTTAATTCGACTCACTGTTCATTGATGGTCTGAAGACCGCGCTCAAGGTATGTTTTTTACACCCGATCTCCAACGCTTATCCCGGTCAGCGGCTCTGGTTCCATTGCAGATGCAGCAGCAGCAGGACTGTCAGGGTGGAAGAGTGCCTCAATTCTCCAGCAACGCGCTGGCAAAGAGGCTACCCTTCAAAACCCCATGGCTAGAAGTTTTTCACAAAGGCTCCGGGGGGTGGCGACCAGTTGCCCCCCCTCCAAACCGTTGGCGCACGGATCACTTCCCCGGGAGGTCCGGGAGAAATGTCCGCTATCGTGTCACCATAAACCGGAGGTCCAGTAGGTAAACTGATGTTTGATTAAGGACAGGCTAGCTTTATTTGATTTTTTAGTAAGTGAGAGCTCATAATTACTTTAGTTCTCCAGTTTGTGTCTCTTCTCTGTTACCCACTGCCTTGTGTACAGGACAGAGTCCTTTGGTGAAAGCTTAGTTCATCATGGCTGGTGTCCATCCAAAGAGCTGCCCAAAATGGAATAGTAGTTCCTTTCTTCTGTCTTGGGAATTTATAATCTTCTCTGGAGGAGCCCTTCACACCTGGGGGGGGGGTCATTTGGCTCTTACTGCCCCAAATGTAAGACTTTACTTCCTAGCTGTTAGTGGTCTCTGTCCTCTTTTAGTGTAACCTGGCAACAGAGTGTGAATTAGTATCCATCTTCCTGCTTAGGCCAGTGCCCGCATAGCTAGGAGTAATGTGCTATGTACTGGGAGCTTGATGGCTCCTTTCCCCCACTCCCCCCCCCTTTCTGCCAGCTGTGAGCGTACATGAGCAGAGTGTCCTCACAATTAATGCAACATTGGAGTGCATTCCTGAGTGAAAGGGATCTCTCCACAATGCCATTTGTTATGTTCAGTTTTCACTTTCAAAAGTCAGTGTTATTTCTGTTGAAAGGATAGATCCTCAAATAATCTAGTGGGTGAGGTAGGATTGGGCAATAAGAGTAAGAGCTCGTGAGTAAGTCATGTTTGTTTCTTTGATGTATTTGCCATGCAACTCTTAAGTTATAGTTCATAAGAGTAAAAATGCCTCCTAGCCTACTTCAGAACATTCTTACTTTACTGAATGTCCTTTCATGGGGTGATCTGTTTCCTTCCTTATATATGTAGCCTCTTTCCATACAACATAACAATTCCCCCCTCCATGTGTTTCTTTAGTACACAGTGGGGAAGGGACAAACACTTTGCTGTTTGTACTATGCACTAATGGCATATCTATGCAGAGAGCACAAAAGATAGCAAATCATCAGAGAAAAATACAGCTACAGAGTTTGTGTCAGAAAGGTCTAGGTGTATGACAGAAGCCAGCTTTTAAACCATTTCTGAAAAAGATTGCCAACAGCCTGAATTTGTTCATGTTTAAACCATGTTGCCTGTTGTGTTGACCATTTCAAACTGAATTGATCATTGCCTTCTATAGTGATCTCACTCTTTGATCTGCTCAACTTGCAATTTGTAAAAACTTCAACCAGTCAATACAACTGACACCTTCCACTGTGTGTCTGTGTGGTCTTTTTGAGGGGGAAATGTGTAGCTGACATATTTAGCACAGACTGGATTTTTTTTAAAAAAAATGAAAATCGGGCAGTTCCAGTGACATTTAAAATAAATGGCATGATGCAATATATTTGGCACATTCTCTATTTCATACTGAATAATACTGGAGTGAAGAATAATGTAGCAAAAGCCTCCAGGGGGTGGAAGAGAAAAAGATGAATTGTACACGTTGGTGTTACAGGATTAAGAAGGATGGTGTAGGCAGAAGGAAACACAGAAGGAGATTTTAAATTCAGAGCTAAGCTGGACCCAGGCCTTAGTGTTCCTCAAATCAGATGAAACCACAGTATTCCCACCAAGCTGAAACGGCACCAATTTAATTCCATCTGGTCTCAGAGTCCCAGGGATTTGGGGATTTGTCATCATTACACGAAATAATTATGCTTCAAATGTAGGGAGTCTTCATAGTTGGCTGCTGTTCAGCTATGTAGGTAGTGCTCTGCTGCTCTGTTCACAACCTCAGTGATAGAAGCATTGGCTTGTTAGGCAATGATATGGCCCCTGTGTGCAAACAGAGCTCTTCTCTGTCTTCAGTGAAATGGAAAGTGCCCTCATGTACATGCAGGATTTCCATATGCAGTAGTTGGCAGTAGAAGCACATGACTCAGATACACAATTGTTGTGTACCCAGCATGTTTTATGAATGCACAAAATTCATATAAATAGCAAACTGTGATTCGTTTGGACCATTCTCACCTCTAATTTACTGATTAATCTCATTCCACTAGTTTAACAAGGAGTTATGCTTTTACGTTCAGAGGTAGGGTTACCAATCCCCAGTTGGGGGGCGGGGGATCCCCTGGTTTGGAGCCCTTCCTCCTGCTTCACGGCTATCAGAAAGCAGGAGGGCACTCCATTATACCCTATGGAAACCAGTCCCCATAGAATATAAAGGAGAATCAATCTGTGGATATCTGGGGCGGGGGGGGGCCTGTTTTATGAAATAGAGGGACCACGTTTTTAGCATAACTGCTGGTGCCTCTTCTCAACCCCCCCCTCC